CTCACAGTTAATGGCGGATAGCAAGTATCTCTTTCAAGTTACTTTCCCATTCAGTCCATCTCCTCATGCATTGGAAGTGATCCAGGTTCCCAGCAGCCTCAAGCTGGGCTTCCTAACGAGAATCTAGGATAAAAAAAAAGACTGCCCGTTACTAAATCCCAGAGCAACATGAAGGATTCCCAAATGATTAGTGTCTGTAGACGAATGAAGTGCTATTTTTGTATTTGGGCAAAATATCTGTTGAGATGTTAGAATTGACCCACATTAAGACATAGTACTGTTTGCTTTTAAATCATTGTATTACTTTCCCTATGACAGTTTCTGCTAAGTCCCGAACAAAAAAAGAAAGAAAAAACAGGATATATGAAGATGAATGTAACTGTTTTGGGATTCCATGCTTAAAACATTTAGCACATTTAATACTAGTTACTATAAGCTAGCAGGAGCATGTATTGAAGAAATTCACAAACATTGAGAGACTATGTTAACCAATTTTAAGGCTCCTTGGAAATATTTTCTATGTAGTCCCAAGATTGAATTATTGAGGTCTGAAAAGTTGGATAATAAATATTTCTGCGATTATGCTTAGATGTTTTAAAGCTGCTACAAAGACCTCTTTATCATGATATAATAGTTTTAATTTGATGTTTCACTCCACACAATGTTCCCCTAATACACTTGAAAATGCAAGCAGTGGTTATTCAAGAGGATGAATAACAGTCCACAAAAAAATGGAATGAAAATTAATTAAAACACGGACAGATTTGCTTACATCTTCGTCCCATGATTGTTTGCACACTGAAGATCTTCACGTAGATTTGTGCAACTTGTGCACAGCATTATGGGATACCAGTGATCTGCATGATATGCCAGGCTGTGCCATAACACGTTCAGATGTGAGGCAAATAACAAAGAAAAAAAACAATGAACAAAAAAGAGTGGTATAAAAAATGTGCATAAAAAAAAAATCAAACAGTTTGTTTTTAGGTAGGTAATGATTTTTTTTTAGAATTGGTACATTTACACTCTAGGTTCCCAAACTGACTAGTACAAATAATTTAGCAATAAGCTGTTTTTTATTTTAATTTTTTTTTAAAAGTGATGGCAACACAAATAGATTATGAAGATGAATTGCCAGTTCATACGTGATTAAAAGGTTTTATGATGCAAGGGCATACCAAACACTGGCGTCTTCATAACAGTACACTCTGAAAGATGTTTTCAACACTCTAAAAGATGTTTTCAAAACCGAATCATTTCTCCCTGATTGATTTCAATCACTCAACACTATCTTAAGCCTACAAGACAGTTATTTATGCCTCCAAAATAATGTTGTAACTGTTTTCATGTTTGTTTGTCTTTTTGTCTTTGTTTTTCACTTTTAGTCTTAATTAATTGGCTAGTATGTAAGTTAATAAAACACATGGGTTTTAGTGACTGCTACATTACAAACAGAGCTAAAGATTTATATTTATATTGACAGAATGTATAAAAATATATATTTTTGGCATAGGTATAAAGCTATGTATATGTTCTAGAAAAAAAAACAATATATGTGTCTTTTCATTGTGCATAATCAAAATGTTGCCTTTTTTTACTGCATCGATTTTCTGTAAACTTGTAATATTTACTTGGGATTTTAATACTGTCTCTGATTCTGGTTTTGTTATTTTTATTACAAAATAATAAATGTTCAGATTACTAAATATGTTTCTTGTCAGTTGTCTTTAATTGTTATTTATTAGGTAAAAATGCTTAAATGTAGTTAAAGAATTATATAGACCAGTGATGGCGAACCTTTTTGAGCCCGAGTGCCCAAACCGCAATACATGCCAACTTTTTTTTCCTTAAAGTGCCAACACGGCAATTAAACCTCAATACTGAGGTTTAAGTTTAGAAAAAACAACTCGTACTGTTGTCGGAACTAATTAACAACTTTTGTTTTAAAGGAACACAACAACAGAGAGTTCAATGATACAAATTTTAAATAATGATATAACTAGATAAAATTAAGCTTATATTTATTAGTATCTCCAACAAATGCAATACATACACACACAGACTGCTGAATACACACACACAAGACAGCTGAATACAGAGACTGATGAATACACACACACGGTCTGCTGAATACACATACAGACAGACTGCTGAACACACACACACAGACTGCTGAATACAGAGACTGATGAATCAACACACACACACAGTCTGCTGAATACACATACAGACAGACTGCTGAGTACACACACACAGATTGCTGAGTACACACACACACAGTCCGCTGAGTACACACACACAGTCCGCTGAACACACACACACAGTCTGCTGAACACACACACACAGCCCACTGAAACACGCACACACAGTCCGCTGAACACGCACACACACAGTCCGCTGAATACACGCACACACACAGACCGCGGAATACACGCACACACACAGACTGCTGAATACACACACATATTGCATTGAGGGGTGTAGTGTATGTGTTTGTGTGTTGGGTGCTGTGTATGTGTATGTGAGGTGTTGTTTGTGTGTGTGTGTGTGTGTGGGGTGCTGTGTGTTTCAGGGGTTCTGTGTGTGTGTGCATGTGTGTGTGAGGGTTGCTGTGTGTGTGTGTGTGGGGTGCTGTGTGTGTGTGTGAGGGGTGCTGTGTGTGTGTATGTCTGAGGAGTGCTGTGTGTGCATGTGAGGGGTGCTGTGTGTGTTATATGTGTGTGTGTGTGTGGTGCTATGTGTGTGTGTGAGGGGTGCTGTGTGTGTGTGTGTGTGTGTGCTGTGTGTGTGTAAGGGGGGTGCTGTGTGTGGGGGTAGGGGTGCTGTTTGTGGGGGTAGGGGTGATGTGTGTGGGGGCCGGGGGTGCTGTGTGTGGGGGGGTAGGGGTGGGGAGGGATGCTGGGTGGAGGGGAGGGATGCTGGGGAGAGGAGGGGTGCTGTGTGGGGGGGTAGGGGTACTGTGTGTGGGGCTGGGGTAAAGGTGTTTAAAAAAAAAAGTATGCTAAATCAGTATCCCCCCCCTCCCTCCTTCTTACCTTTAATGAAGGAGGGGGGGGGACACAGCCATCCCTGGTGGTCTGGTGGTGGCAAGCACTGCTTCCGTGTCGGGAGGCAGGAATCTGTGAAGCAGCTCCCCTGTCCTCTCGCGCAATGCTGTGTGGAGCGCTGCTTCACAGATCCCTCCCCCTGCCGCCCGACACGGAAGCAGAGTAGGCGCCTGCCGTTTTGGGCAGGCAGGTGCCTACTCTGCATTGATGGCGAACCTATGGCCGCGTGCCCACAGAAAGGGCCCGGCATGCCACAGGTTCTCCATCACTGATATAGACTATAAAGTATATGTCAGAAATGATATAATGTTTTTATGATATTGCATTTTTTTCATTGGGGATATCTCTAAAAACAGCTTGCAAACGCTGCAGATCTCTTCTCTGCAACCTTTGCAACCCCTCCTCTTTTGTCCTGAAATGACCAATTGTAGGCTCCTCATTGAGTGTCCTCAGTTTCTTGTTCATTGAGCTAGTCGGGCAAGCCTATGTTAGTCTGACTTACAAGGGGGGGAGTTCTGCAAGTAATTATAAGTTTAAGATTTCAGTTAGAAATCAGCACTTTTATAAACTGCAATTAAAATGAGCATGTTCTGACGCATAGTGCACTTCAGCAATCTGAAGTTCTTTATGTGTGTGGAGTTTTCCTTTAAGGTGGCTGTGGAATATGTGCATATCTAACATCTATAAATGGCATTGGAGGACCTATTTCTTGACAGATTTAATCCTTATATAAAGTGCTACACTATAATATACATACAAAGTGGGGTTTGAGGGGCCAATAACTATTTTATTAATGAACCAATGCCAATGATCTTACATTCAAGGAATGCTAAGTGTATGGAGATTTGTTGGACTAGGTACAGAAGATGATGTCTTTCAAATGAGCCCCATTTGCTGCTTCACAAAGTTGGTCTATTTCGATTGCATTGTTCATAACATCAGTTAATGTTTGAGGCTTTAGCACTCGAAATTCTGCACGGATATTCTTCTTGATCTTGTCAAGTGTACGCGGTTTATTCACGTACACCTGCTTCTTCAGAAATCCCCACCGGAAGTAATCGGAAGATGAAAGATCGGGCGAACATGGAGGACAATTAATCTGCGAGTTTCTTGAAATTAACCGCTCGCTGAACAGGTGTGTCAGGAGATCCATGGTGACCCAGGCTTTATGGCCAGTAGCCTCATCCTTTTGAAACCACATTTCAGGATGATTTTTTCTTTGCCTCAAAATAATGGACTTGTCACATTGAAAATAAAATTCCACTATTTGTACTCATTGTTTCTTCGTGAAATTACCCATGATAAATCTCCCAAGACTCAGTTATATTATGTACCTGCAACAACAAAAAATTGAACTACTAACAAATACATTATTTATTTACCGGTCAAATCCTCCTCTGAATTTTGGCCCCACCCTATAATGCATATATATGTTAAAGTTAGAGGGCAGAAATCAGTTAATGTGCACATTACCTAGTTAATCTGCAGATTAACTAGGGGGATCAGTTAAAGTGCAGAAAATGATTTCGTTTCTCAAATATTTCTCACATTACCTAGGTAATCTGCAAATTACCTAGATAATCTGCACATTACCTTCTAGGCACTCGTTAAAGTGCAGAAAAATCATTCTGTCCTCCATCTCTGAGGGGCTCACAGCTCTGGAGGACACTATGGTGTGCACAGGCTGCTGTTCTGTTCTTGTCTGGACCACATAGTCACATACCTCTTCAAACAGTTATCCCGAACTGGTAAGAAACGAGGAGCCCCCACCACCACAAGAGAGCGAGTGCTTCCTGCACATTATGCAGCAACACCCTGAAATGATCCCAGCAGATGCTCTCCACTGTTCTCAATATCATCATATATTTGAAGACTGTCAGAATCAGTGGTCCATGAGCAGACCTCTCCTTGGTCTCATTCTTCTCAATGAGAGAAGTATTTCTCAGACTTACGGAGCAGAATTGTTAGTAGCCAGCCCCCTCTGAGAAGCAACAAGCCATGCATCTATGCTTTGAGAATTTGATGGTGGAGGGCATTGAAAGGAACTTGCTCACAAAAAGAATCGAGACAGGTTCATACAGAATCTTTCTGCCTTCAGACGAGAAGTGAACGACTCTGCCGAGACTGCACTGAAAGGGTGAAACAGGTTCTGCGAGGACATTTTTGTAATAAATAATTTTCTCTTTACCGAGGGAAAGAAACAAACATTTTGCACTGAAAGGGTGAAACAGGTTCTGCAAGGACGTTTTTTGTAATAAATAATTTATCTTTTACTGAGGGAAAAAAACAAACATTTTGCACTTTAACTAGATGGAAGCAGTTAATGTGCACATTACCTAGGTAAAGTGCGTAAAACTCTTGATTACGCACTTTAACGGAGCAAATCAGTTAAACTGCAGATTAACTAGGTACTGTGCACATTAACTGATTTCTCACTTTAACTGTAACATATATATGAATAAGAACACACAATGGGGAGTTAAAATTTCTGTTTCTAGAGCTACTTTTATAACTCCACTTTTCTGGGGTTTTTTTGCACTCTTCTGAATCTCCCCAAAATTAACTGGCTTGTCATTTATATGTATATGTATAGGAAACGTAACATGCAGTCATGGAAAAACATAGATATGTAAGTCGCTAGTGGCCAGTATAGGTGATGTGAAGATGGGCTTGGAGAGGACTTTGCTATTTAGTGCTTTAATAGCTGCAGGTTGTAGAAGAACTGAGTGGAGATACATCACTGACCCATCACTACAACACCTCTCCCTACAGAACATCCTATTCTTTCCAAATAGCCAGCATTATAACAGCAGCGTGGGTCAAGTGAGGTTATGTAAGTGCAAACACAAAACTCCGTTGTGCTAAAGAGTCCTGCCTGCTTCCAACACAATGTTGTCACCAACGGCACTGGTAGAAATAAACAGAAACATTTGTGTGGAGTGCATGCTGTGTTACATGGATGTCCTGTGAATGAGGTGCCATCTGTGTATTGTGTAACAATGTGTCATGCAACTGATCATATATTAAGTGGTACTGGGGTGTAACGTGGCTGTTTAGTGGGTGCTGGAGATTTGAGTTTTAAATAGAATTAAAAATAATATATATTATTTTGTTAGTGTATGACTTTCCTACTGTACTCTCTCACTTTCAATCTGTGTTGTTGCCATGGAGAGCTGGCAAGAGCATTTGCACCTGATGCCACTAGCACTAGGGCTGTAGTCTAACAGGGAATAAAATTAGCAGGAGGTGCTTTGTTTGTCTGTTTGCACAGTGCTGCAAGAGTGAGGTACAGGCTGGAAGTATGCAGGGCCTTGCTAGTCCAGCACTGGGGCAGCCCTTGAAAAAGTGCAGTTATGCATGAAATGCTTTAGCCAGGTTCTTTCAATGTATTTTTTTTTTCCTGTGAATTAATTTTGATATGTTGAACAGTTTTAAATGTCTTTTTAACAAGAAAAGTAAAAGATTTGTCCATTTTTTAAAGGACCACTATAGTGCCAGGAAAACAAACCCGTAGTGTTAATAGTTCCCCCCCCCCCCCACCCTCATGGCCCCCCTCCCACCGGGCTGGAGGGGGAGGAAAGCACTATGCGTCAGAACATGCTCATTTTAATAGCAGTTTATAAAAGTGCTGATTTCTAACTGAAATCTTACATAGTTACATAGTTACATACAGGGCCGGTGCAAGGATTTTTGCCGTCCTAGGCAAAAGTAAAGTTTGCCGCCCCCCCCCCCCATGTGACATCACAATGCTCCACCCATATAATCTGCCATGTTAACTAACGCCAGTGCTGCAGTGCCGCCGTGTTTACATTATAAGGCATACAGGGACAGGCTATAGAAACCAGAACAACTACATTAAGCTGCAGTGGTTCTGGGGACTATAGTGTTTCTTTAATGTGAGGTACATTAGAGATTAGTGCCACGAATAATATACTAGATTGCCTACTTACAACGAGATGAGGATGATGATGGGCTCTAGCTGCAGTCTGGCTCCACTGGTCTGGTGTATAACAGGATCTCTGGAGGCGGTTTGTAACTGTGGTCACAAAAATCAATGTTCTGGGAGAACGGGAAGCAGTTCCATTTGTGTGTGTGTAAGGGATGCATTGTGTGTAAGGGTTGCATTGTTTGTGTGTGTGTGTGTGTGTCTGTGTGTGTAATGCATTGTGTGTTTTTCTGTGTGCAAGGGGTGCATTGCATGTGTGTGTGATGGATGTCAATCTCTCCCCCCTCCCTTGTCACTCTCTTCTCCCCCCTCTCCCTCCCTTGTCACTCTCTTCTCCCCCTCTCCCTTGTCACTCTCTTCTCCCCTCCCCCTTCCCACTCTCATTGCCCCTCCCTCCCCTGTCACTCTCACCCCCGTCAATTTCTTCTCCTTCCTCCCCCTCCCAATTTCTTCTTCTCCCCCCTCCCCTACCAATTTCTTCTTCTCCCACCCTCCCCATTTCTTCTCCCCCTCCCCTATTTCTTCTTCTTCCCCCTCCCCTCCCCATTTCTTCTTCTCCCCCTCCCCATTTCTTCTCCCACCCTCCCCTACCAAATTCTTTTTCTCCCACCCTCCCCTACCAATTTCTTTTTCTCCCACCCTCCC